ATCCGAACGGTACTGTGTGACCACCTCTGTGAATTTTTATGGACACAGCTGAGATTTATGGGGGTACTGAAAGTATAAATCAAAGTGACTATCTGTAAGGAAAAAAGTGATCTATCAGGCTTGAATACAAGGAAAGAGCATGGAACATCAGAGGACTGGAACATCCCTAAAACATCTATTTTTCCAGTTATGTGGGACTAATTAAAAAAACCCAACTTTTCTCTATGAATTTACCTTGTATTGTTAGACTGTCACAGGCACATCTATAGACAAATGGCAGCTATAGAAAACTGTTAGTTTCAAGATTGATATTTCTTTCTGTTGCATTTAAAAATAATATTAATTAATTTATAATTTAATTTTAATTAATTTTAAAATAATATAAATTAAAATAATTTAAAATAATCACACAATTGGAAAGAAACATGGCATCCAAAGATAAAAGGAAGGAAAAGAAAGAGAGAGGGCATGGAAGCATGCAATGCCTTCCTGGCATCATATCTATAGCAGTCAGAAACAAAGAGGCTGCTTCCTAAGTATGTTGAATTGGGGAAAGTTGTGGTAACTGGCCACTCACAGTCTCGAAAATTTTCATCTTGAGCTCTTGTGTGTGAGGGAAAGGAAGAGTGGGGATCAATATGGACAATACTAGAATAATTACCATTTTCCATTGTATTAGTGCTTGTTAGAAAAGATGATGACTGAAAACACACAAAAAATCAGACATAAGGCTTTGCACTTAATGACACCAAAAATTCTTTTCTATACCATTCACTTTCCTGCACCGTAATTTTTAAGCCCTTTCTGAAGACCAACCTTAGAATTTAGTGGTGAATGATTTCCTCAGTGATCAAGCAAAGAGGTTCTGATCTTTCATGAGAAATTCAATCACTTCATTAAAATGACTATTTTATACATGAAATTAATGGAAAGTTTTCTTATTGACAGTGAAGAGGGCACCTGCACAGAAAATCTGTAAAAGAAGATATATCAGTTCTGTGATCTACAGATATTGTCACAGAAGGGTTTCACTGCTTTCTAAGGGGTGGCAGAAACAACACAGAGAGAGCACACACTGCAGTGCACATCATTGTTCTGTGGGAGGAAGGAAAGTTTTACACATCTGGGAACAGTGATCTGACAATGCAAACATGAAATGCACTCCCTGATCACAGTCCAGCTTCTGCACGAATGTGCATATTAACATTTTCCCCAGACTGAAGTTGTTTAGTTTTACACACAGATCTTATGTAATGGTGGTATATTTCAGCCTATAAATGTTGGGTGATAGAGATCTCACATAATGAGAGGACTAAAAATCCACCCTCAGAATCACTTTGCAATACTGAGAACGTTGTATTGGTTTACCTACACTACCAAAAGCCATAATGGTACAATCACTTAGGAGAACTAGCAACCTCGTTTAAACTGAAAATGGTGACATTAACCTGAACAGCTGTCAAACTCATCATCGTTTCTGAAATAAATTTCTACAGTTAAGTAGCTTTAAGCTATATTTCTAATATACATATATGTAATGACATGATTTTTAATGACAGTATGTTTGAGTATCTTACATATATGTATTACATAAAGACATTCTTATATTGCTATATATATTACAACTTTGGAATATCCATGGTAATATGAAGCAATTGGCCCAAAATAATAAAAGTAGGTATTTTTTCCAGAAGATTTTTCCCCCATTTTTTCTTTCCTGTCTTTCTAATCTCTCCTTTTATACCCTTTCTTTACCAGAGCTGAAGACCATTTACAAGCTGATCTATCACCTTTGTCACCTCTCTTTTCTGTTTTTTTTGTTTTGTTTTTTTTTTCACTTTGGTTGCCAGATTCATCACTGAGCTAGTACCTACTGTAACTATAAGGCTAAACTTAATGTGCTAGAAAAGCTAGTGCATACTCTTATTATGAGGCTAAATTTCACATGCCAGGAAGCAATGCTTACAGTAACGGACTGTATCTGCACCGAGAAAAAAAAAAAAAAAATCAAGAGCAAATCAAGAGCAAATTGACAATACAATTTCAAAAATCTTATCTCTCTGTATTGCACATCATCATCAAGAAAAACAAAGTTCTGCAGTTCTTTTGAAACACACCAAATTAACAGAAATTTTGGAAATTTCAGTCAAGGATCTGCTGATAAAAATCAGCTTCTGAATTCAATGAACACACGGGAGTAGTTGTCAATCAAAAAGCCTCGATTTGCGCTTTAGAGGCTCGCTCTCCATTTCTGACATGATTCCCCTGCTCAGTCTTGTAAAATGATCTTACCTTTCAGGAATTGCTTCTGTCTTTATGTATCATAATCCACATGCAGATGCCGTGGGAGATGTATTCATTCAGATCCCTCCCTACACAGATTTAGATGACATGCTGCTTTAAGATACTAGCTGTGTATAGGTTCAATAGAACGTGGTCAGCTATCTGTCTTCATATGATGCCCTAGCAGTCATAATGCTTGCAAAAATACACATTTAAAATTCTGAGCTCAAGCTCCCTCTCAGGATGTCATCAAACATCGCAGAATTACAACCTAACAATTCCCCCTTCACATTGGGGTGAAACCCCAGCCATACTGAAACTCTCCGTGACTCCAAAGGGGAGGGATTTCCCCTTTTAGTTATTTACATTAACTCTTAATCCAGGATTATATACTGCTTAATACATGAACTACCTCTCAGCTTTTACGGCATCAAGTTTAACAATAACCACTACTGACAATACTACTTTGACTCTTTAAGGTGCTTTTATCTAAAATGAGAATAAAACCCCAATGTTATGTCTCATTTCTCATACTGCAATGGCTTAAGCAAACAATGAAAAAATAGGGGTATCTTATGATCTTAAGAGCCATTATTTACTAAGATTGTTCAATCTTCTATGTAAAGGTGCAATATTAAATCAAAGAACAGAAAAATTAATCAAAAAACTAGGGCTTGAAACACCTATAGTTCCAAAAGGGCTGTTATCTAATGAATTTTACTATTAGAGTCAAGATTACACTTGCTTAAAGAAAACATGACAATTTCACTTATTTATGTTACCAGAATGATATGATCTCATCAAAATTTGACTAAGCAAGAAATCATGAATTTATAAGAGGCCAAATCATGCCTTCCTGATTCATGTATAAGTTTGATGCAGTAGAAATTCACACCTAGTTTAACTCTATCAACCAAGAAAGATGTAGCGCACTGAACTACTACACTCAGGATTTTAAGGTAAGAAATATTTGGCCTGAACTCTCAAGAAGGCAAGGCACAATCTACTCTATGTAGCCAAAGCAAAGCATTATTGATGAAAGCGTCTTTATGCAAATATTCAACTATAAATTACTTCTAAAACTTTGGCATTGCAATGTTCAGACATCTACTTAGAAACACTATTTTGTTCTTTTTGGATGCTTATCAGGCATCTTATCAGATAAAGCTTTGTTCATGTGAATCTAATTATTCAGGTTTTTGCTAAGTTCTTTCCTGTTGGCGCTTCCTGCGAAGTGACTTCAAACTGTTTCATTTTATGAATAAACTGAGTGATTCCAAACAACTTTTGCTAGAAGAGGAATAAATTAATGATTGGGAGCTCAGAATCATTTTGGTCTTCAAAGCCTTCAAAGGACTTAAAATATAAAATTTAATTCTTCCCCTCTCCCACGTTGAAGCAGGTCATTTTTAGTAAAGTAACTTAGCCTCAGATTTCTTCAGAGCTAGTGCATTATACTATCCTGTATAATACCAGAAGTGCTAACAGATTAAAACATTACCAAACAGTGGTAGTCTGAAGACTTGTGTTTAAGAAAAAATCAGAATCAAGTAAGTTTTTTTTCTGAAAAAAATTAATGTGGTATCTTTCTATTTACAGGCCACAAATCTAGAACTACTATTTACTCCAGTACTAGTTAGAGCAGAAGATAGAAAATTTGAAAGAAAAATCCATGGGAAAAAGACTTAGATATGAAAATCACAAACCACTCATATTATATAATTTTAATTACTACTGGTCTTTTTACAGTTACTCACTATACTCATTATAAATTTAGCCAATTTAAAAGATTATTAATGCCAAATAGACTTGTCTCATTTTAGTGATACTTCCTAGGAAAGACTGAAGAAAGAAAGGCAAACTATCTACATCAGGAATATGTTTTAATTACAAAAGAATCTGAATTAATAAATTTTGAGATAAACCAAAAATTTCCTGAAAAATCAAAACCTTCCACTTATATTAAACATTTGGCATGTATTCAGCCTTAGGCACACTACATTTAGGTATCTATATAGAGCGCTCTATATTTAAACTCTTACTATTAAAGAGGATGTAGTCAGTACAGTTTATGAAGCCACAAATGTGGTTCAGTTCACCCTGAAGCATACACCTACATGTAGTTCTGTATAGAGCTGAGTAAAGACTCAATCTCCTTTGATTGCCAGTGGGAGCCAGGACAACCAGCCCATGTGGAGACTCACACAAAGACCTAATTTTAGGTGTTAGGTGTTGAATCCTATCCTTGGTTTCAAAGCAGTGAAAACTTTGTTTCTTAGTACTTTTTCTTAGTAATATGAAGTAAATATCAAAATGAAAATTGAAATAATCATATATAGTGATGTTTCGTCAAAAGTGGCATTTCTGTAAGTCTAATTATAATAGAATAGGTTTTCCTGAAGAGAAAACATTTCATCAGGGGAAAGAGAAAAAAAAGAGCAGACCTACTGTAGTCCACAGAAGATGAAAAAATAACTAACTAGTTTCCTCCCTTTTCTCCTTTAAGGCAATAATCCTAATGGATATAATACTCTGATCTTTTTAAGAGGGTCTACATGTACTCCAGAATTAAATCCTCATGAACAGGTACTCCATAACACATAATTTCAGAGTTCATGCAGAAATTAGGACACAAATGTTAACTGCTGGAGGAAGGACCTCAACAACAAAGAGGCACTAAAATAAGAAAAATATTAATATTAAAGTTGTTTTCCTACCTGTGTGCAGACAAATTACTGAGGTACAGGGTGTATTTTTCTTCAGCAGACAGCCCATCCATCATCAAGTAAAAAACATGAAAATTACTCTGGTTGAGAGGCTGCGTAATGACACGAGACTTCTCCAACATGTATGTATAAATCCTAGCTGATTGAGAAACAAACATATAAATTTATCATTATACTGATTGCTCTAAACTTATATATTGTAAACCATTCACCATTGCAACAGTGAAGAATAAACAATGTTACTTATAAAACGGTCTGAGGTGAGCATATAAAAAATATTATTGTTCATTCTACCATGGTTTTGTATATAAATTCCATATAAAGCCCCAATTCCATTAAAATTAGTGGAACAAATGTCTTACTGTCTTACATTATCTTAAAATTTACTCAATTTTAAAGATAATGATGTTGATTTGTACTTTGTTTTATTTATTTGAGGAACCACTTGTATTTGGCAAGACTTTCTAAGAGACAAGCTATTAGTCACCTCACCGAAGACATCTGAGCATTGGCACCCATTCTAAGATCCTTCATCACAGAAAGAGAAAGATGCAAGAGAAATTCAAGACATCTTTCAAAAAAACACCCTTGGAACTATTTCCTTTTTCTCTGTTGGTAACTAAGAACACTCAGGTTAATAATTTAGATTACCCACCTAACTTCTAATAGATAGCTACAAAGAGGCAAATTCTCTACAGAACTACTCATCAACAAACTCACTAGCCTGCGCCTGGGAAAACATGGGAGTCTCAGAAGGACTATGATGAACTGGCCAAATGAGAAGCTATGTGAATCAGCACATCAGGGAAGGAAATGAAAGAGGATGAAGCTGACCATGATTTGCCTACAGAAATGCTGATTAATGGGTTCATATATAGCCTCAGGCACACTAAAGTTCTGAAAGACGCAAAACACTTAAGCAAAGGAAATATTGGACCCTTACCTGCTTCATCAGATTATAGGCATTTTAGAGGTAATTGTGAAGAGACAGAGGGATATTCACTGTTTCAGGCAGATTACACCTCAGCCCTCTACTGAGTGTATGCCACTATGCAGTTCCAGATGTAGCAGGCTAAAGAGAACAAGGGAATGCTTAACTGTAGCTGGAGGTCAGGGCTGTGAGCAGGGACCTGATGCCAATTCCTACTTACCCCACTGTTTGTATACTTCTCATCATTACTTACATAGTAGTTGTGGTGCAAAGACCAGAAGCATGTCCCTTCACAACTAAGCACCCACACCACTAGGATGCAGTACATCGTGTTGCAGCTTTGTGTTTTTCAAACTCTGCAGTATGGCAGAGCTTTCACAGGGTCTTAGCAAGCATCCTTACCCTGGAAAAGACTTAAGTTCAGAGGATAAGGTACACTTACGTATTTTTGAAACCCTGTGAGCTGCGGGGGATATTAAACCATAGCTTCTTATAGTCTGGATGAGAATCACTTCCTTTATGAACTGGAAGTAGTTCTTGAACATTCAGTGACAGAGAATACTGGTACATGTATCTTGTAACACAGTATGTATGTTCTCTAAACACATATCATTTTTGAGCTGCTCATGTCTTTTAGATTTTTTTTGACTTCTTTGAAGCAAACTGGGTTTAAAATAAAAGAGCACTGAGTTATTCAGTGCAGTCAAAACTTACATTTATAGGAATATGCAAAAGCACAGCTTCAGATGTCTGAGAGACCTGAAGTTTGAAGGCAGAGTGGGAGTTTAAAGACTTCTAAAGATGGGAGTAGTAGAAACAGTATTTTCAGAATCAGTACGGGACTCAAAGGTATCGCTCAATGCAATGCTGAGCAAAGTTATGCAGGTTAGATCTCAGCATGTGAGAGTGCGTATTGGAAGCAAGGTAGTTGCATTAGCCTAATGGCTAGGCTAGAAGCCAGAATGTTCCTGCCGCCATACAGCTGTTAATATCCACAGTAGCTCATTCAGAGCTAGCTTGGTTATTGCTATACCATCTGTATTTGTCTGGTAATTATATTTTAAATTTCACCTAAGCATCTTCCTGTCTTTTGGAGAGCTCTAAGTTTCTGTCTATACTGTTAAACACAACAAACTTTAAGTTACTTAAAGTTGTGTGTATGAGGGAATACAGCCTGTGAGAATATTGTTGAAAGAGAGGGTAGAGTGGAGGGAAACAAACTCAGTGAATCTTGAACATACTGTTTTCAGGAAGATCTCAGCAGTTAAGTGCTGTCCCTGAACTAAGTATAACTATGCATGGCCTCACAAAGTGCTACTCTGCACAGGCCAAACCACCCCAGACACATCCCAGTTAAGCAGTAGGGAAGGTGAGTGGTACACTACCCAGGAGCATCCTCCACCCTCTCTTTTATTTAACAGCACAGGCATGGCCTGATACATGTGCTGGCAACCAAAACCATGCCTGGGATTCTAGCTACTAAAGAGACAGTAGGACTGACAGAGAAGAGTTGTACAGCTGACTTGCTGAACCAAGGAGACATGATTTGGCCCATTTAATCATCCTACAAAAAGCAGAAGAGAATTCCTTCTATTATGGAACCTGTAACATGAGAAATTGTGTATCAGCCACCTAGACCTCTGTTGCTACACTACGGAAAAAAAGAACTGTGCTGAAAGTAAAAGGGCACACTTGGGAAATCATTAAGCTGGTAGCAGGATATGTTTTCCGAATCCAGTAATTTTGCAGCACACTACAAATTGAAGCAATGCAATCTTAACCTAACATGGCAGGACTGGCCCAGACACACATTTTCATCACCATCAACCATTACCTGTCTGCCATTCCTACAGGGCAAAACAGAACAGATGAACCTGAAGGATAATTTCCATCTTTTACTGTGCTTGTAACGTATTTATCAGTAAAACTAACCCCACCATCAATTAATTTGAAAAGAGGCCATTACTAATCTTTAACAACTCTTTTTGTGTGCAATGATCTTCACTAAAGCTTTCATAACTATCACTTAGGTGTTTTTAACAGTCTTCGTTTAATAAAAGCAAGAAAAATGTTACTGGAGGTCATCTATCTGATTAATTAATACATTTAACTTTAATGATGGGCAACATCACTTATTTAGATGACACAAATTAATTTAGTCCTTTTCCGGTACTTCAAGTCACCTGCTTTAATAAGGCTAAATATAGTTCATCTCATTAGCATCTCCAGCAGTGGGAAGAGATGTCAAAAAAAGTCAGGCTTCTGATCATCAAGAATCAAACACAGCATCATCTTAATGGAGCTAAAGTAATTCATAAAGAAAACTGTCACAGTAATATGCTTTTCTACAAAGTGAAATTATATGTTTGTTAATCTATGTGTGAAATAAAGGGGAAAAATAATAGAGTTCCCTGGGCAAAGTCTGCCATTCTTGTGCAATGGTAACTGTGCTTACAGGCACGAGGAAAGTTTTACTTCCTTTTACAGATCACTTGATCTACTGAGCAGCTACAAAGACAGCAAGCAGACTCTCTATTGGAAGTGCGGCTAGTGAAGTCTTTCTTTCAGCTATGCATTCTTTGAAACTACATCTCTTTCTAAAAAAACATGTTGTCCTAAACAGCTATTGTTAAAGACAAAAGAGCATTTGCTGAAATGAGCAAAAGAGCTGAAACACAGTAAAGAAACACATCAGAAAGCTTAGCTGGCTGCAGTCTTTCTTATACCAAAAAAATAAATTAATATCTGAAATTTTTTAATTGATAAAAAAAATGTTTGTAACACACACAGGTGAATATGAATTCTGCTTCTTTTTGCAAATCAAAATAGAACCTTCCATTTCAGTGCAACTTAAGAAAAAATAAATCAGGCTTTGCTTTTCAAAAAGTGAAGACTGAGAGAAGCAAGGCCTGAGAAGCAAGTCGGGAAAATCTAGAGATAAGTTTGTCAGGCTTGATTTTCTCTTCCTAAGCTTCTTTATTAACAATTTGAGGAAACTGACAGAAGCCTTACCTTTCAATTTACTTTGAAATTATGTCAATTTACCTGAAATTACTCATTTCCTTTCCAAATAAAAATATAATGCAGTAATTTTACTTCTGGAAATAAATAAATAATCAGTCTTTTACTACTATGCAGTGGGTGTGAATCATTGTCTATGAATGATTATGATTTTTTGGCAGAAGATCAGTCCTTGAGTTCTGTTAGATATGAATTTATTTTAGAAATGTAATGAAATCACTGGCCTGTAGCTTATTCTGTATTTCTTCTGATGTAAGACTTTTTACTAGTTCCCACTGCCTGACCTTATCCAGTCACAAAGAACAATGAGTTAAGCTGGGTTATACCTTCTCCACTTGTTTGATCGGACTAAAGCAATGGAACATACCTGACCAAAAAGCCACTTGTCACAGAAAAACTCCCATTTGAACCCAACATCACAGCACACCCCATCTTAAACAAGGGTTAGGGAAGACATAAAACCTCTATAGATATCTGTACTGACTTCGAGTAGAACCACACTCAAGAGCTCCATCCTTGTTTTCAAAACTTTGTGTCATAGATCCAGTTTATGAGAAAGACTGAATCAAGCCTGTAGATGAAAACTATGGTAAACGTTTTTGTTATTTAGGTATATTGGACTTTCTTCTATAAGAATAAACCTTATTTGACAAAAGTCAGAGCTTTTCCAGGGTCTAGGCATAAAAGAACTTCAGCATGAACAAAAAGCTGCCACAAATGTCACTGATGTCCACTCAAAATGCAAGGAATGGTACCCGGAGCTTGCCTTCTATAATAAAAATGTATACATGTGCTTTGCATGCCCCTTCCTTAGTAAAATGTTCTGGATCTCCACCCTTAAGATCTGTCTGTTAAGGAGTTTAAACAACCTAAACCCTTTGATAGAGGCAGTGTTCTATCGCTTGGATTTCTGTTTACGAACCAGACACATTTAGCCCTATTTGTCTCAACGAGTTATAGAGTCATGTCTCAGCAGAATCAGGTGCTCTGCATATTTACATTTTTCATTCATGTTTAAACAGTGCAAGACAATAAATACTGCTGCAAATGATCTTGCAAATAGATACAGAGAATCACTGGATGAGATTTAAACCAGCCAAAGACAACATCCCTGATGCTTTTCTCATTTTTGGTGGTGTAAATCTGGGACAATTGCACTCAGAAATGATGTTTAGCGGTGGCCTAGAAAAGGCAACATCTACAATGCAAATCAAAGAGCATGAACAACTGCAACTTACAAAAATATAAAACACACTTTTACTGCTGCAAATTACAGAATTAATAATTACAGAACTTTTGGCTAACTTAGATTTAGTAAGAGTAATTGATTAAGTTCCTAAATATCTGGGGAATAATAGGGCAGAAAAGTAATTTGTTTATATTTGTTAATGGACTGGACTACCTCTAGATTTTCTCATTTAATATCTGTGGTTTGAGAATCATAAAAACACAATATTAGTATACCAGAAAGCTGACACAAGAGCCTGGTTAACTGATTCCACATTTATATCATTCACAGGCAAGGGCTATGAATTAAACTGGCAAGTCTGGGTAAAGCTGCTTGAAAACTCAAGTCTCTGCAATCTCAAGAAAGGCACTTAAAAATTGTGGGAACACATGGCCTTGAGGACTTGAGGCTTCTGTTCCTTACCTGAGGAAGTGAATGACACAACCTTAGCCTAGAAGTACTGTGAAAATGAAGCAATTTATGCTCCTGAAATGCTCACACAATGAAAAATGTTGATGAACAATATAGAAAATCAACAGAAAAGCTAGAATTCTGTTTTTAGAGTAGAATAAAATGGCACAAGCCACACATAAATCAATAAAGGGAAAACAAACTATTTAGTAGCAGATCACTGAAGAAATATAGTCCATTCTCTGCACTGAATGAAGCTGGGGTAGGGTGGAAAAACAACAACATTAAATTTCTATGCATAAGGCAACCCAAGAGCATCTCAGAAAACTTCAGTTCTGGCATTTCCTAATGTTCATACACTTGACTTCTCAAAATTAGTATAATTTTAATCTGTTTGCATTTGTGCTCTCTGTGTGTAACAGAAAAATTGTGCACACAATGTAATTGTGATAACTAAATGTACACAAATTAAATATATACAGTACAAAGTATTTCTAAAATGTTAGTTTTAGGGATTGAACTTTATTTTCACAAGTCTAATTCAGATGCAATTTAGTCCATTGTAATCCTCCCACAACAATTTATAAATGAAGGAAAACCCCCACATTGTTTAGTTTTACATTTTCTTTACAAATACTCTATATTTATTGTAAAACAAACCAGAAAAAAGGTGATAATAATCTGCCATGCAGTGACATTTTTACTGGAAAAACTATTAGTAGTTTTGGAAGTCTTTATCCAATGGCATCTAATTTACTTAGATCAAAAGTGTGTTTCACCACAGAGCTTTTCCATCCAGGAAGATCAGTGCCAGTAGGAAAGAGTCTGTGTACAGGTATTTCTTCACACAGCTCTTGCTTTAGCACAGTGTAACTTTATGATGACCTATGCAGACCAGAAATGAAACCTCTCCCTGACTGTCTTGGAAGATCAAAGTTTTCAGCATCAAACTGAAGTTTTGTCTCATATATATATATATATATATTTATTTATTTTTTTTACTAACAAACACTTACTGGGGATTAGCAGACTCCCACTTACTCTGAAAGCAGGCACAAATTCCACACGATCTTACTTTCATGAGAATAAACATCAGTATGATTCCTAGTTCATTTAGAAGAAGCTCAAAGATGTAATAAATTACTTCTAATTTCAATATTACAGAGTATACTTGTGTTTTGCTTGCCCTAAACAGATGAGTTTATCACTTATATAAGGGATAATTAAAATACAAATTACAATATTAGATACAAATGCAACAAATTAATTTCTTTGTTACTTTTATTTTAGAGTAAAGCAATACACAACTCTCAGAGTTTGTTATTCTTGGGCATAAAGGCAAATGTGATTTCCTGGGAACTGTGAGGAATCAGTGGTGGTGACTTTTTTTCTTGTCTTTCTCTGCCACCTACTGGTTGCACAGAACAGGGTTCACCCTCTATATTACTCTTCACAAGCTAGAATTCACCTGCTATTAAACATGTTCCTCTGACACTTCCTAAAACTACCTTGTCTCTTTCACATACTTTAAGTCCATTGATGCCTAACTCTGTAGGGCACAATGGGATCCCTGATCTACTATCTCTGTGGGTGATATCAGAATAAACAGATTAAATTATACTTACCTGCAATTAATGTTTTTTTCTTCTCACAAAACTGTAGCTCAAAATATTTTATATAACAGCTGGAAAAATCATTCAAGGGTGTCTTAGCATGTCCAAAGGCCTCCAAGATACAGTTTACCTGCAAGACAATGGTAAAGAAGTGATAAGAGAGGAAATAAACAGGAAGAAATTTCAGTAAATATCAGTGAGGTTGTTTGTGATCCATAAATGGGGAAAAAAAGACGGTTGTTCAGCTTGGAATTTAACAGATTCCTTGTAAGTTTTGTCATTTTTTTGTAAATAGAAATTAAAATAAGACAGTTCAAAATTTTAAAAAAAAAAAAAAAAAAAAAAGAAGGCAGCTGTCAGAATAGTGGAAGTTGTAAATGGAAGGGGGAAGACAATGGCTCATATACTAGCTGTGTCCTTACTGGTAGATTGGATACAAGTGACTGAAGCTATATGCCCAGAGCTGGCATGCTTAGCAAAAAGATTTGAATCTGTGAAAGCAGCTACGCTTACAAAGTTACAGTCAGTTGATACTAATAACCAGCAAAAGAATTTACAAGTGTCACAGAATCACAGAATCACTTAGGTTGGAAAGGACCTGGAAGATCATCTAGTCAAACTGTTCACCTAGCACCACTGACAGTTCCCACCTACAGCGTATCCTTAAGCGCTAAATCGACCCTACTCTTAAACACCTCCAGGGATGGGGACTCCACCACCTCCCTGGAAATGATGCCAAAAATGGCATAAATTTCTGATTTCAAATACAACTACTTCAGCATTATACTAGCGAAAAACTGAGCAAAAAAATGTTTTAGACTTTTTTATGGCATCTCTCACATGCATTTTCATGTTACATCTTCATGGTCACAGCAATTATTTTAAAAGAGCATTTAAAAAAAAAAAAAGTATTAAATATGACATCTTTATTCCATGTTTTCTCTGTCTTTAGCTTTTTTTGTGTAAAATTAGTTCCTTACACCTTGAAGGATTCCCTTCAGCACTTTCCTCTTTTGCTTCCTAAGAAATTGATTGCAATGTGTCCCAAATACACTGCTGTTCTGATATAACAGTGTTTTGCTGAAGCTGGATGACCTAGCTGGGGAGGAAAGAGGGCTGTGGAGTGGCACAGATAACACGTGCTTCCAATGAAAAAAGACAGAAGCTCTAAAAATCAGACCCTTCAGAATTATTAATTAAAACAGCTCTTTGAGCAGTAGGTGGCAGCAGAAAACTGGTCAGCCTACTTTGTTTCCACTCTAGTAGTGTTTAGGATGTATTTGCTCATTAGGCTAATTCAGCACTTGGTTTAAACCATGCAGCTTTATTAACTCTAATATGCATAATTTCAGCAGGAATGAATCCAGGCTATTGTGTTCATAAAGCACCTTAAGCGGCAGCTAAACCAGAATCGCTACTTGATTCCTCATGCATTTCTCTGTCTGCAGTCAGGTGTCCCATGTACAAGGCATCTTTTATAACCAAAAGGCAACTGTTTTTTCTTAATATGTGATAATTCTCTTCTGCCTGCATTGATTAAAACTCTTTGACACGTATACTGTTAAACTAAACAAGACCAGGAGCAGAACTCTCTAACCTCAACGGGAAGTGGCATCATAAAGTTTACATTCAGACATCTAATACCTCTTTTTTTTTCAAGAATAGGGTGGACATACTGTTGTGAATGGTCTCTGGCACATGCCATCCCCTGTACTGTGGCCAGAGGATCTGCTAGGGATTTAAACTCTGTCAGGGAGCAGGGTAAAAACTTCATGTTAGGGATTGTTTTTCAGTTTACTACATAGATGTAGTGCAGGTTAAAGTAATCTACAAAGATAACTAATTTTTAGATGGAGAAAATTAGGCCTGGTCAGCCCCTTTCCACACTGATTCCTCTTCTTAACTGAGAACATCTTATTCCATTTGCACTGGATCATGATGGTTTTCCCTGGAAATTTTCCTGTGGTCAGGAGACAAGTTGCAGCAGAGTCAATATTCCTTCCCACACCTCCTGATTCCCAGTTCTGCCATATTTGTATCCAAAGCACACAGTTTTCAGTTCCTTATTCACAAAGTTACTTATTCATTTACTCATTACTTAATCTGAACATTAGGGAAGAAAAGGACTGGGAGGGTCTGACCTGAATTTTGCAGTTCTACTTGAATAACAGCTATGTCCTGATCAGTTCAAGGCTGTAAGTAAGCATGTGTAGGTAGTAAATAAAAAATACACAGTGGAAATAGATATCACTTGTAGGTATGGCTTCTGGGTTTAAAATAAAGTGTACTGTCCCTGGTGCAATGTTATTATTGCAACACCACATTTCAAAATTTAAATTAAAAAAAGTGAAAAGTTAACAAGCTTATTCTTAATATTGCCACATGAAATCCAGATTAAATGGGTCAGTTTAAGAGCAGCATCAGTGAATCAGATAACACTGTGAAAAACACTTTAACATGGCAGTTGTATGACTACATGTAAAGCTGAAGCTTATTAATTTTTGATGTTTTCAGTGTCATCAGGCTTTTTTAATATCTTCAAAACCACAGATGCAACACTATTTACTAAAATCCACCCAAAATCCATAGGACTTCTATTACCTTATCAGCTGAAATGTACAAAATACAAACTAGTTTATCTGTAGACTTTCCCACATCCCAGTAATCCTGATCTGTAGTTTGTCTGTTAGTGTCAGCTGTACTTCTGACACTATTTTATCATGCTTCTGGACTGAATCTGCATAATACAGGAAGAAAGCAGTGTGTTTTTAATGATGCATGTGATGCTACTAAAAAAAAAACACAATGAAAGATTCCGGAGTTCTGTTGGAATATCATGTCTGTGGCAAGTGAAAGCTAAAAAAAAAAAGTATCTTGGGTTGACTGTAAGTGCTGTAGAGGAAGGTCACCACAGTGGGTGAAAGAGTCTAAACATATATTTTTTAAAGTATTAAACTCAGAACTGTGCTAATGCAGACTGTGCTAAAACATTCTGTGTGAATCTGTCTCTGAGATGGGATCTCCAATGAGAAATATGATCAAGAAAGGAAACTTTTTTAAAAAATTTGAACTGGCAATCCAGGGTTCAGCATAATTTATAATGTCAGTATGAATCTTTATAGTACTGTTACAGCTGTAATAATGAAACACAAGCTGCAATGTTCAGTCAAATGAGAATCTTACAACGTATTAATAAGGAGAAAAATTCATCTGATATGTGAAGCAGGTTCTCATGATTTCATGATATGGACTGGGCAGAATTTGGTTCTGCTGTGGGAATTAAATATAATTGAGCAAATATTCAAAACTCTTGCCTATTTCATAAATATATTTAGTATACAAATACTGGGCCATATAACTTTGTTCGGTTCTTGCAATTTTCTTGCAGCTTTCCAGTTTCTGTCTTACACACTATTACTTCAAATGCCTCAGCACTTCTTGTACTGTCCAGAGAAGCACCACTAAAACCATACAGACAAATTTATTTACTACTGAGATAAATTTATTTACTTACTGAAAGCAACTAGTACACATTTAGGAAACAGTACCTTATCACACAAATGTTTCCTACTCACTGAAACACTGCTTTCCAGAGTCACAAAAACATATAGAAACAGTGGCTTCAAATTTTTAGATTCCTGTCATCAGATCACTGTGATCTTAATCCTGTTCCCTTGCAGGTCAAATCAGAGAAAGAAAGCTCCTTTGACCTCAACAGTGAAAACAAAACCTCCGTGAACTTCTGCATAGCAGATGCCTTTTTCCTTACAGTTCAAATGTCTTTGCCTATTGAAGAGACCAGATTTTTGATCTGTTCTACTCAGTGATCAGAATGCTACTTACATGTTTTATCTTTGTATCAAAGGTATTTCTGCTGGAGCTGGCTCTGCAGGCGAGGTGCTTCACTATCTGTTTGCAGGCTTCAGTCTTCCCAGAACCACTTTCTCCACTGTAAAATGACAGGCAACAAAAGGGGGGGGG